GGGCTGGTACAATAGGCCAGAAGTTGCCGCAGTACAAGGGACTTAGTCCCACCCCACTAGCAATAAAAAAATACCATTAGGATGTTCTGTTGTCAGTTGAAGGGAGGGAGTTCAGACGTTCTTCATAAAATCTGTATTGATATCCAGCTTGTGACAAAAATATTTGCTGTAGACAGCATAAACTCTTTGTGTATTATTTTTATTCCATCAAGGTTCCTATTTAGTACTGGGTCTAAATTCAGTTCTTTGAGTAATATTCAAAGTTACTGATGTTTGTTTTAACAATATTCCGTTGATATTTTGATGTGTTTACGTAGTGCCGAAGTCAAGAAATTTGGAACTATAACTCCACTCCCACATAAGTCTCTATGGCATAGTGTTTAACTATTCAAACATGGCGACAATTTTACTTCATATTAGATACATTTAAGCTGGTCAAGACCACGTTCTTAGTTTGTCACAGTTGAGGATTACCGCAACAGTAGTAAATCTGTCTCTTCAGTTAGGGAAAATGTTTTACATAATATTAAAATTAAGGGAAATAACGCAGCGAAGTCCAGTGAAAGTAGAGAGATGTTTCGGAGTAACGTATTGCCTCTCTTCATGCTGGCTTATTACTCGCCTTAATCTTCCCTCCTGAAGGCAGAGGTGCTGGTTGTCTTTTGCAGAACAACTCAGCTGGTCAACTGCTTCGTACAAAATGTTACTTGGTTTACTTTCCATTCCTGAAGATGGAAGTGACCTGTTACTCCTAAACGCAGGTTTCTGTCTACTGCACAACGTTCATGGGGAAGCAGTACAATTACGAGCATTGGCAGACTTCGGTAGTGCCTCCCTGTGTGAACGCTCGCATTTCCGTGTTTCAGGAAACGTGAATGGGGTAAATGTGATAGGGCTGGCACTTCAAGGTCCTTCTGTACCGGGCCTGCAGCTGATACAGGGCGGGACTGGTCGTTCCCCCGCGACGATAGATATGGGGTACACGTACCAGCACCCCCTACAGGCGAGGGGCCCAACGCGTGAGTATGCAACTAACAAAGGTAAATCTAGTTAAATATCACTAAAGAGAAATGTCTGAAAATTATTTTAGTGTGGTTATTATACCATATTGTTTCTTTATTATTTTGTCGTTTTTCAATGTTTTGGTAGCCGCTTTTAAAATTATGCTTGATATGTCTTACTTTATCCATTAGCATTATTTGATGGCAGTTAAAATATATGCACATAGTTTTATGGCTAAGAAACGTGACCGGATGAGAAGCGAAATTATTATTTTATTAGAGTGCTATTGCAATAAAGACAAAATTAACGTATGTAAAATAAAATAATCTACAAACCAGACAGTTATCAACGAAGTAGAAGTTGATAATAACAAGGAAAGTGTTTTTAAATGTTAAATTTTGAGCTGAGTGCAGTGTGACAGCGACGTGAGTGTTATACACCTGATGATGGCCATCTGAGGCCGAAACATGTAGTGTAGGGGAGCAAGATCAAAGACACAAAATATATTGTTTGCACTTGAGACGGAGTTTGTATCATTATATCATTTATCGAAATTATTCAATTACTTGATAACAAATGTAGTTCAGGTACAAGCGCATTTTCGTATATTTCTGAGGCATTTATTTGGATATATTGGAACTTACTTTTTACATGATATTGTGGCTCCACAAAACCAGAAGTATTGTTCTGATACAATTGTATTTAGCGTTTCGGAAAATCATTTAACGAGACAAATTCTCCCATCTCTCGGAAATTAAAGCTAAATATTTTTGGCTTCTCAATATACTAAATTATTCGAAGAGTGTATATCTCTGTACAGTAAAATCGTAATGGTGGCGCAAGAAATTGTGGTAACGCAGTACACCGATAGGAAGCTGTATGCTCTGCTTGAAGTCAGTACAATTTCTATCGACAGGTGGATCTGCCAACAGTAATCTCTCTGTCATGTGTCGCCATTTTCTTGAAAAATATTTAATTAGAAATGCTAGAAAACCCATACCTGTATTTCTTTATTATAGGATGTTATGGCTGAATTGTCTGCAAACTAAAATATTCTTCAATATTAAAACACTAATAGAAATACGTCAAAAGTAACATATTGTTTTTCAGTAGAGTGGTTAAATGTTGAACACGCTGGATTTGAGATCTTCACAGCTGTGGCGTTGTGTGGTGCTGTAAAATTTGTTGACGTTTTGAAGGAATTTGCTGCTTCCATTTCCAACTCACGCCACACTGTCTACAGTCTTTGCTATTCTCCAGTCCAAAATGTACTTCCCAATGATCTCTCATGCCACTTTTGTTCTGCCTCCTCGCGTCTCCAAACTCATCAAACACAGCCCTTTTTAGGGCCAAATTTCTTACTTTTCACCTTGCTTCTACAGGTTATGTCTCGGCTCCAGCTTAGACCTAAATATAACCATGTTTTCTACGTGCTACTCTGACAGTATTTTCAACTTCGAAGATTGATGCAATATATCCCCCGAAACGTAGTCCAACTTGTACCGGACTACACGACATCACACCCCAGAAGATGACACTTTTTATATTGCGCTCGTTCATATACAGATTCAGAAGGGCGAACAGGCGGTTACGTCACGTAGGCAATGGTGTATTGTCCCCTACTGTTGTTCCAGTGCACGATGTTGAGACCAATCTCCCACTTCTGACGGGGGCACGGGCCCTCATGGGTCCCCACGCAGGACCCCATGCTGCGGCGGTAGCAGCAGCAGCGGCAACGGTGACGTCACTGCCACCACTGCAACCCAGGGCAGCCACTACAGGAGGCACGGACGTTCTGTTCCCTTTACAGGTACAGTGTGTTTGTGAATAGAGTTTATTCTTTCATAAAGCTAATTGGAGCTGGTCACGGTAGCTGAGCGGTCTAAGGCATGTACTCTCTTCGCTCGCTTGGGAACCGAGATCGTGGGTTCGAATTCCATTCAGGGCATGGTTGTTTAGTTTGTGCGTGTGCGCTTTTCTGTGTTTGTGTACAGGTAGAGGCCTTGCGACGAGCTGATCACCCGCCCAAGGAGTCCTACCGAATGTGTAAGATCTAGAAAAACCGAAGTGAACGGAGAAGGTCATGGAGGGAGGCCTAGGCCCACTGGGGCTGTAGTGCCAATGAAAAAAAAAAGCTAATTCGAAACATTATTCCGAGAAAGATAAACATATGAACAGAGACAGCCCCCTCGCTTACGAATGGTGTGTGACTGGACAGAGCTCGTAAAGCGAAATTTCGTAATGCAACTGGCGATTTCCTAGAGGAGCAATGTTATACTTAGAACATAGTTCCAAAACAAACAGAAATAATAAAAAACAAACATAAATCTCCAATTTCATTGCCTGAAATGTATTATATTATGATCATGGGAGTCATTATTCTGCTTTTTATGTGGGTAATGCCCACAAGCATACACCATTTGAATCCAATCAACAACTTCAGACTACAGCTGTGACTCAAGGCCTTAAAATCCAATGTATTTGAGATAACATTGGCTTTTCCTTCTGCTTAGAGGAGTGCATTCTTCACCTCGGCATTATGGTGAGATAAGTGACCAAGGCTTTACCGTCTGGGAAGGAGCCAGAAGTGCACATCCCATACGATAGTATGTGGACTGCCAGGAATAAAAATATAGCTAAAAAGTAAAGTAAAGCTATCCCTGTACCAGGCCGTGAAGGCCCATAGGGTTGTGAGACGTTGAGGGTCCCACACTATCTAGACAATCGGCTCAAAGATGGCGGTAAGTTTGTCAGCCTTACGCGCCGGCCGCGCTTTACTCCCCAGGAAAATTGTTTTTAATTAATTCTTGGTACTCATTTCTGTTAGAGGCTGAGTGAACCCCAGGGCCATAGTGCGGCTGGAAGGGTTAGGTCAATTGAAAAAAATCCAATAACCTCATCGGGACTTGAACCCGCGATCTTCCGGCTTGTAGTATAGTGCCTCAACCAACTACGCCACCGCGTGCCGTATACACCTTGATCTTCCAATTAATTTGTTCTTCTGGTTTCTGAATATAATTACGTTATTACAACATTCAGACATGAACATGAATGTAAAAGACATGTTGCTTTGTTCACAGCCGAGACTGTTACCATCACTCCTATCGACAGCTTTTACTGAGCAACAAGAAGTAACTGCAGAGCCATCTAGCGCACAGGAAAGGAAATGTGAAACAAGGGAAGACGTTGCAGCAACAGTTGTAGGCCGGGAGAGGTTCTGAAATTTCAAGAGAGGAGATATTTTGGAAGCATTGCAGATAAATGGCTTTTCCCAGGAAGGTTTCAGGATAACCTTAGACGTTTTTAAAATGTGAATAGAAGCTTAAGACTGGCCTTTGAAGTCATGAGTTGACCAAACAGGATTTGACGTTATCGACACTGGCTGTGAGTTTTGTTACGTCTTTGCAGTTGGCATTATTTGCACTGCATAGCACTATGTTTCATAACTTTCTTACGCCTATGTTTCCCCTATCTGGAATTATGTATTTTCAATGTATTTTTATAGTTCAATTACGTGTCATATCCATGCGACGAAAAGTGTGCAGAAGCAGGGTTCCTGACGGAGACAGGGAAAACATTATGAAGTATTTGGCGACACATCAGCCCCAGAAACAAGTCCTGAGTTGCCCCTCGTTAGGACATAGCCTATGACTAGTGCCACCCACTGGTTTATCCTCTCAGTTATTCAGACTTCAGTAAGAAGCATCCGAACGCTTAAGGAGACAAAGGAATAGAGCGAGGTAGGTCATGCTATATCGAATACAAATTACTTCAGCGAGGCAACCAATGTTACAATATCTCTTTTGGTATTTATTGTTAATTAATTAAAAGTCTAGTAATATTTTGTAATTAATGAGGACATTTAAACTGAGTAAAAAAAAAATGCAACAATAATAAGGGAGGAACACAGTCTGAGGGTGTTTGAGAACAGGGTGTTGAGGAGAATATTTGTACCGAAGAGGGATGAAATGACAGGAGGTTGGAGAAAACTGCACAGTGAGGAGCTTCATAACTTGTACTCTTCTCCAAGTATAATTAGGATGATCAAATCAAGGAGGAGGAGGTGGACAGGTTATGTAGCACGAATTGGGGAGACGAGGAATGCGTATAGGATATTGGTGGGAAAGTCAGAAGGAAAGAAACCACTGGGAAGACCAAGGCGTAGGTAGGTGGACAATATTAGAATGGATCTTAGAGAGATAGGATGGGATGGTATGGATTGGATATATCTGGCTCAGGATAGAGACCAGTGGATGGCTCTTGTGGACACGGTAATGAAACTTCGGGTTCCATAAAATGCTGGGAAATTCTTGGGTAGCTGCAGAATTGGCGGCTCCTCCAGAAGGGCTCAGCTCCATGAGTAAGTAAGTAAGTAAGTAAGTAAGTAAGTAAGTAAGTAAGTATGTATTTACAATTACTATAAAAACAGGCCTTGACCATTTATGATATTTTATTTTGTCATGAAATTATCTCCAGACAATAGAGTATTCTCGCGCGAGATTGGTAGGTTATATGTGGCTAAAATTTGTTGTATTGCAGAATGAATGCACTTCGTTTCGTTAGGCAATTGCGCTATTTAAATGAGTAAACCTTAACAAAGGCAAGTAATTCCAACTGCAAAGAACAATATGAATCAAAGAAGTATGCTTGTTCCCTTTATATCGAGCATAAACTTCCTAAATCTTTTTCTATCGATATATAAACGTGAAATTGCGGTCAATTCAGTAAATATAATTTGAAGTTTTATTGTGATTTAGTGCGTGGCTCAATGGAAAGACCCCCAGATATATCAAGACATGAAAATTCTCTTTTAATTATTAAAACTTTTCATTACCAAAGTGATATTCTGTAGATCCTGTGGTGTGTACCGTCCACAACAAAATGAAATAAAATGAGACTGTTTTCAAATGTAGATTTCAAGTATATTGTGTTTTCTCGTTGAAAAAAGACAGCGAGTAACTACACGTTTGTGCCAAAAACTAATGTTTTTAAGTGCATCTGAAGCCAGCATGACAAAGTCTCAAAGTGACAATCGAGACACATAGAACAAATGCAACATTTCAAAAGGCATCTATATTCACCAGTCTAACTATGGATTATAACTCATTAATTGAGATTAAATTAAGTGCTTAGGTACGATAAGGAACTAGTTTAAGATTATGTACAAAATGTTAAGACAGACATAGCTGTTTGGCTTGGACCACTTTTCACAGTTCAACAAATTTATTTGGTTTTACACCAAATACCTTTAACCTAAGATGTACGAAATGGTTTCAAGTTATTTTCTTCAGAAAACTAAACGCGTGTGTCGTTTGTTTGTGGGTGAATGGTCCGATTGTAGGGAACAATGTTACAATACAGAGAACTGATTGGCCACAATAAACTTATGAGTGTTACAAAGGGGAAATCATTACACATGTTTTTAGAGCCAATATTGGTTAAATTGTATAGGCTGGATGAGAATATGAGAATGTATAAAGGTAAAATTCGGTTGTATGAAAAAGTTAGCTACCAATTAATACAATACCAATGTAATTGGAAAAATAAAAAATTAACAAATTATCAGTAATATGAAGAAAATTTCTCAGAGAATATGCATTTATAGAACAATACGAGTATATAAAGATAAAATGAATCTTAAAAATAAAAAAAAAATGACAAAACTTGTATAACAAAAGTGTCTCTCCAAATATTTACAAATTTAAGTCAAATATTATTAAGTATAAATAAAATTAAGTGCGTTTAATCAAACAAAAGGCACACTTCTCTCAATTATTTTTACATCTACACTGTTTTTATGCACTCAAAATAATTAGATTTTAAATATGACACATACGTAAAAGTCAGACGGTTACAGATTTCTGACTGAAAATTATTTCACACATTTAACATTTATTGATTCACATCCTAAAGTAAAATCTGTAGAGTTATAATAGATTCTTGTATCAAAGACCTCTGAAGCCCTGGCTTCGCAGATATCACGGAATGTGCCTTCTCTAAATGTATAAATATATCTATATAAGGACGCAATGGCTTCTATGGTGTTCAGATTTAAGAATGTTATAAAGTCGTTTAATTGTTGTGAGAAATTGAAGGAGAGGCTTTGCGTTAAACAATATTTTAGCTCGTATTTAAAACTACTCTTTCCATATTTATTAAATTAGTTTCATTTAGGAAACAGCTAGTAATTTTCCCCAATGTTAAAAAAATTATAGTCTCGTGTCTTACGCCCCTTCATGAATCTTCTGTATGACACAAAGCCATATATGTCCCCATAAAATTATCCCCAATAAAGTTTAATGTTCAGTTAAATATCTGTGGGCCGGTATTTAAGTTTAATTATAGCATAATGCATTCTGAAATATTGAAATGTGTATGAAAATTTCTTAACGTTAAAGGTATTAGGTATATATTTAAAATTATCCCAGAACATTCCTATACTATCCCATATTTCCAACATCGTACTCAACTTATACCAGTTCATTTGTCTTCCACACAAAATTAATTAGTGAAACAAGACCTTCATTAAATTTAAAGTACATTTTAAGACAGGTATCAAATATTATATCGCTCTTCTATCGAATTATAAATGATGATAAAGACTTTCTGATCTGATACTGTACTGAGACATAAATGTTTAGAACATTTCAAGTAAAGTCGAGAATAATTTCAACAAGATTTTCATTTCACTTCATTTACCTTGCCAGAAAATGATACTAATAAATTACTTTTTGATTTGTTTCATTCTGGTCCGTCAAATTAACAATTATAAATACAAAGTAAGGACCGAAACATGTAAGGGAGTTAAGTTTTAACGTAGTAAAAATGTATATGTCACATTGGACGGAGTAATTTGTATTTATAATAAATTACTTACTTCAATTTAATATTTATATTACATGATATTCATAAAGTCAGGTATACATGAAACATGTGGATATTACTGTGTCACAGTGGCGGCTTGAGATAAGTATACTCATAACATGTCATCATAACATTGATAGACTTGTATGTTCTTATTATATACAAATATCGCTGAGATAATTCTATATAATTTTGTGACTTTTAATGTTGAAACTTATCTTACAATATTACATTACATTTTACGTTGTGCAATATGCATTAGTCCAAACTTTACAGTCTCATGACCGCTAAGAAGCTGAAGGTGGGTAAAAATGAGAAAAAAAAAGATAAAAAAATATTTTATGACTCACTTGCGTTATACGGGTACGTTAATGGGCGCCAGATTTTTGGACCCAGACAACTGCACCCCTTCCCTTGTGGTTCTGGGAAATGAAAAATCAATGAAAAAAGTTGATATTAGAAATAAACTTTAAAAGAGCTTAAAAATATTTCTACCATGGATAATCAAGAGCGATCAGTTAAAATAACCTTGAACCTCTTAAATTTCCTAGGTGCCTACTTCGGTATACTGACAACATGCCCTTGGAGAAATCTTGACGCCCATTCTTATGTCTCAATTACTAATTAAATATGTTTTATTACTCTTAATGTACCAGGCATTATGAAGAATTTAAGAAATAGAATTTTATTTCATATAAAAATTATTATGAACGAAACAGAATGTTCTATCACGTTGTGCATGTGAGAATGACACAAGAGAACTGTACAAATTACACATTTAAATGCTAGTACAGGTGACAAGGAAATTATAGAAGAAAATTTTAGGATTGAAAATTGCAACAGTTCAAAATTATTTAATGCCAGTTTTAAAGTCTCGTTAAAGGCAGCTGAAATATCATACTTTCGAGTACTACACCAGTGTATTATAAGTCCCTGGAAAGGCCAGGAATTTCTGGTTGTTATGAAGAGCAAGGCCTACTTGATTCCTTATAATTAATGAAAGATATTTACTTTTACAACAATATTTTTGTAATACTTATGCATTTGTCTAATATTTTATTCAGAATTATAGAGAGTTTTATATATAACAGATTTTATAGAAAATGACCCTTAAATATGTGAAATTGTGTTTCATTTTACACATAAACAATGAAAACTGAAGTGTTAAAATTAAAGTTCAGGTGCCAATGAATTTATAAATGTAGCGAAGAAAATTATATGTTTAAGAACATATTTTATAAAATTATAATGGTTTCACATTAATTTACATTGTGTATTTTTAACACTGATTTCAGGGTAATGGATTAATATTCCTAAGGGTGAAAATGAAGTGGCACAATATTATTTTACATAAGCACCTATCCAAATATTATATTTTTTTACAAGACACTTAAATTAACGATACTTGAAAGAAAAATTACCTCTGATATAAATTAACAGAGAAGGTCTGCGCTAAATTTAGTATTACATAAAATATTTCAAAACATTTCAATCAGTAATATCAGCATAAAAATTCAATAAGGGAATAAGTTGTAGTTCACAGTTTTCTCGCTATATTTTACGCCCCTGATCGGTGCATAAATAAGTCATGAGACATATGTTAGTGTGATTGCATTAGGTAATCATTCTGGATCAACCAGCAGAACTTAGAACTGCTAAATTATCCCCAATGTTATGTTTCAGTGTATCATATGTTTAAATAAATATGTTGTCTTCCTTGTGCAGATTTATAATGAGTTGCGGGGTAGAAATCTTAAGAACCACTTTCTTAAAGAATTAATCATTCAAATATGATATTTTACACTGAATTTTTAAAGACAGTTCATGATTTTTATGTTACTGTAGTAAAATTTATGAAAGATTTCAAAGAGGTTCCTGATATGAGATTAACTCTGCCGCCATTTTGAGCATAAAATATGTTTTATACTAATGTTCCTTGCATAGCTATTTCCCTTTGTAAAGGCTGATTCATTCTGTACAAAAAACAACGTTAAAATCCACCTTAACCAGA